TTAGGAAGTACCATACTGTTTTTCATAATTGCTGTACAAATCTACATTCCTACCAACAGTATACAAAAGTAAACTTTTCTTCACACCCTGGTCAACATTTGTTATATTTTGACTTTTTGATTATAACCATCCTAATGGGTGTGATATAATATCTCATAGTCCTGTTGATTTGCATTTTCCTGATGATTATTGATATTGAGCACCTTTTTAGATACCTGTGGGCAATTTTTATGTTTTCAGAAAAATGTCTATTCCAGTCTTTGCCAAGTTTTTAAAAATTTTTTATTTACTTTTGTTTTTAAATTTTTACTGATACATAATATTTATACATATTTATGGGGTACATGTGATGTTTTATTCCCTGCATAGAATATGTAATGATCAAGTCAGGGCATTTGGGGTATATATAACCTCAAGTGTTTATCATTTCTCTGTGTTGGCAACATTTCAAGTCCTCTCTTGTAGCTACTTTGAAATACGCAATACACTGTTGTTAAACATAGAAACTCTACTCTGCTGTCAAATATCAGAAGTTATTCCTTCTATCTAACTGCATGTTTGTATCCACTGACTAACCTCTCTTTATCCCTCCTCCCCACCTACACATCATCTCTAGCCTCTGGTATCTACTGTTCTACTCTCTACTACGATGAGATCGACGGTTTAACTCTCACATATAAGTCAGAATATATGATATTTGTCCTTCTGTGCCTGTCTTATTTCCCTTAACATAACGTCCTCCAGGTTCATCTATGTTGTTGGAAATGACAGGATTTCCTTCTTTTTATGGCTGAATGGTATTCCACTGCGTATATATACACCAGACACTCTTCATCCATTCATCCCTTGATGGACACTTAGGTTAATTTGCTATCCATGCTACTGTCAATAATGCTGTAATAAATATGGGGGTGCAGATACTTCTTTGACATACTGTTTCCAATTCCTTTGGATATATACCACTAGTGGAATTGCAGGATCATATATTAGTTCTAATTTTAATTTTTTCAGGAATCTCCATCCTGTTTTTCATAATGGCTATACCAATTTACATTCCCACCAACAGTGTATAATAGTTCACCTTTTTCCACATCTTGTTAGCATTTTCTATTTCTTTGTCATCTTTGGATAAATGTCAATTCAAGTCTTTTGACTATTTTTCAAGACAATTTGTTTTTCCACAATTTAATTGTATGAGTTTTTTATAAATTTTGGATATTAACCTTTTATCAGATATATGGTTTGCAAACATTTTTTCCCAATCTGTAAGCTGCCATTTCATTGTTTCATTTTGTTCATTGTTTTCTTCGCTGTGCAGAAGCTTTTTAGTTTGATAAAATCTCATTAATTTATTTTTCTTCTTTTGTGACATGAACTGTCGATGTGATGTCCAAGAAATCATTGCTATGTCCAGTGTCCAGAAGCTTTTCTCCTGTGATATTTTCTAGGAGTTCTATAGTTCTGCGTCTTATATTTAGGTCTTTTATCCATTTTGTGTTGATTTTTGTGCATAGTGCAGGATAAGAGTCCACTTTCATTCTTTTGCATGTGGAAATCCAATTTTCCCAGCACCATTTATTGAAAATACTATCCTGTCCCCATTGTGTCCTTCTGGGGCTCTTGTCAAAAATTAGTTGACCATATATGTTTGAATTTATTTCTGTGCTCCCTAATCTGTTTCATTAGTCTATGTGTCTGTTTTTATGCCAGTACCATATAGTTTTGATTACAATAGCCTTGTAATATAATTTTAAATCAGGAAATGTGATCCTTCGAAATTTTTCTTTCTCAGAATTCATTTGGCTGTTCAGGATCTTTCATGGTTCCACACAAATGTTAGGATTGTTTTTTCTATTTATTTGAAGAATGTCACTGGAATTTTTATAGGGATTGCATTGAATCTGTAGATTTCTTTGGGTAGTATGAACACGTTATCAGTATTAATTCTTCTGATCCATGAGAATAGAATATTTTTCCATTTCTTTGTGTCTTCTTCGATTTCTTTCATCAATGTTTTATAGTTTTCAGTGTAGATATTTCACCTCCTTAGTTAAATTCATTCCAGGATATTTTATTTATTTTTGATGCTGTTGCAAATTGGAGTGTTTTCTTGATTTCTTTTTTCAATTAGGTTGTTAGTTGTGTATAAAAGTGCTATTAATTTTTGTATATTGGGTTTGTATCTTGTAATTTTACTAACTTCATTTATTAGTTCTAACTTTTTTGTGTGTAATTTTTGGGATTTTTTACATATAAAATCATGCTTAATTTGACTTCTTCCTTTCTGATTTGGGTGCCTTTTATTTCTTTGTCTTCTCTGAGAACTCTTGATAGTACTTCCAGCACTATGTTGAATAGAAGAGGCAAGAGTGGACACCCTTACCTTGTACTGAATCTTTGTAGAAGAGATTCTGTTTTGTCCCCGTTGATTACAATGTTGGCTATGGGTTTTTCAAGAGTGA